TCCATTGCACAATTACCTCCATGGTTTCTCAAACTCAGTGCCATATGTCTTTTTTGTTGTTGCTGTGAAGGCTACTCTATGCCACAGAGGATGCCAGTTGCATGCTTTGGTTGCACTAGATTCTAGACAGCACACCTTTGCTTACTCCACTTGTGACAATAAAAATTAACTGGAGATATCAGATGTGATAGTAATCACACTAGGCTAACCTTCCATTCTCTGAATCCTCTGGAATGCAGTTGTTATAAACCTCAGCATCTGGCTGTAATGGGAAGCTGAGCCAGGACAACACATTGTGCCAACTTTTTTCTGCTAGGTGTTTTGTAAGTAAGCTTTCTCAGTCACTTTTACCTCCCTCAACTGTATCAACATTTTAGGGATTCATTTTGTCCTTGCATGAATGACATCATATATATGTCTTTTTGTGACTTACTTCACTTTCTCTGTCCTCAGGGTTTCCTGTGTTGCGACTAGTTTGGGTTTCTTGTTTTGTTTTGTTTTTGTTTTTGTTTTGTTTTTTGTGACTGTCGTACTTTCTCAGGATTATCTATTGGGCAAGATTTCTTTCACACTAAAGGCTGACCTGTAGCCAGGTGGTGATGATGCACACCTTTCATCCCAACACTTGAGAGGCAGAGGCAGGTTGACCTCTGTGAGTTTGAGGCCAGCCTGGTCTACAAGAGCTAGTTCCAGGACAGTCAAGGCTACACAAAAGAAACCCTGTCTCGAAAAACATACAAATAAACAACAAACAGCCCTACCCCTCCATCCCTTACCCCCTAACCTCCCCTTCCCCCCCCAGGCAAAAAGGCTGGCCTATATTCCATCTTTTATGTATCCATTCATCCACTGGTGGACATTTGGATTTCTATGAACAATTTTCTTCATTTGGTTTTGGTTTTTCAAGACAGGGGTTCTCTGTGTAGCTTTGGAGTATATCTTGGCACTGACTCTGTAGTCCAGGCTGTCCTCAAATTCACAGAGATCCTCCTACCTCTGCCTTCTGAGTGCTGGGATTAAAGGCGTGTGCCACCACTGCCTGGCAGGTTTTGTTTGTTTTTGTCTTGTTTTTTTTTAAATAATACTTCATACTGTTTTCCATAGTAGTTTCGTCTTTTCAGAGCCCAGTGCATAAGGGTTCTTTCCAATTCCTCTCCATCCTCACCAACACATACTTCCTGAGTTTGTTTGCTCAATAATGGCCATCCTAAAAGGTATGCCACCGTGTCTCATTTGCATCTCATTTGCTTTACAGCTGGTGGTAGTGGCTATTTGCAGGCTTTGGCCATTTACAGACCATATTTGGAGATATGCTGACTCAAGTTTTTTGCTCAGTCTGTTTTTATATGTTTGTGTATATTCTTGAGGGGGGAGTGCATGAGTGTGTGACCATCAGAGAACATGTTGGAGTTGGTTCTCTCCTTCTACAAGGTAGGTCCCAGGGATCGACCTCATCAGACTTGAATTAGCACCTTTACACGCAGAGGTGTCTCACTAGCTCTGCCATTTTAATTATGAGTTATTTTGCTTATCATTGTTCTGGAGGTGTTTTCTGTTCTTTATATGAGACATGATCTCACTATAAAATCCAGGCTGGTCTCAAACTCACAATCCCCTGCTCAGCCCCAAGTGCTGGTGTTACAGACATGTACCACTACACCCAGGTTGTAGGAATGGCCCCTTATGATGTTATAGGGTTTGGAATAGTCATGCTATGTACAGATTCCCTTTTCACCCTGTTGATTGTCTTGTAGACCAAAGAAGTTTTCAGTTCAGGGTAGTCCCAGCTTTCTATATTTGTTTTTGTAGTCTGTGCTTTTGGTGCCTGAACCAAGAATTCACTGTCAACCCCAATGTTATGCAGATTGCTCCCTTTATTTTATTAAGCATTTTGTAAGTTTGGGTCTCCTATGTATATCATTAATCCTTTTTAGCTTTTGCACATAGCATATGGGACCATTTCATTCTTTTGCACGTGGGTATCTAGCTTCCTCATCATATTTGCTCAACAGGCCGTCCTTTTCCACAGAGAGTGGCCTTGGCATCCTTAGCAGAGGTCTTATGAGAAAATGGAGTTATAGCTAAATGTCTGTTTTACACTATATACCCAAATTTTGCTACATTTTACTGCTCACTGGACTTTCCTTTATAAAGTGGGTATAAATGAAGGAGGCTGCATCTGTGGGCAATTTCTATGGAAATTGTACTAAATAATAATTACATGGTAGAAAACAACTTTTCCTCCAAGGAATCTACTTTGGAGTTCTATTGAGAACAATGTAAAATATATTAGACAATACTAAGAAGGTGCCAATAGAGGTTCTCAGAGCATGATTCTTAGAACTCTAGCACCTAGCAGTACTCACGACCTTGTGCAGAACCATGTAACAGTGTTAGCCTTTTCTTCCTGTGTTGCCATTGGCATGGCTGGTACAATGCAATAGTTGGCAAACTCCTGGTGCCTTGATCAATTATGACAACTATACTACGAAGCCGACCTTTGAGACCCATGTGTTTTTCTTCATAACTTACTGCAAACAGGGAAGTTGATGCTTCTGCTATACACCCCAATCCTTGATGACTGGTGTAAGGAAAAGTTCTTGTCAAGTTGTTTGAGTTTAAGGAAAACAGCCATTGGAACACCATTGAAACCCTGGTGTCAAGAATGTGGGTTTACAGCCGGGAGTTGGTGGTGCACACCTTTAATCCCAGCATTTGGGAGGCAGAGGCAGGCGGATCTCTTGAGTTCAAAGCCAGTCTGGTCTACAGAGCGAGTTCCAGGACAGCCTCCAAAACAATACAGAGAAACCCTGTCTTGAAAAACCAAAAAAAAAAAAAAAAAAAAATGTGGGTTTAGAAATGCATGTTTACAGACTTGGATATTTAGCAAGTTTTATTTATTTTTTTAATGAACAAAATCCTGCTGCTTCAAGAAAAACAGAGTACTTAAATGATTAACCTTGAGGCTTCAAACAAAAACATTTATTTCATTACTATGAGTATGACAGCAAGTTCATACTTAGAAGATTTTCTTCTGAGACTATCAGTGATGCTAACATTGTGTGTGTGTGTGTGTGTGTGTGTGTGTGTGTGTGTTTAAAATTCTAAAATATGTCAGCCTTTGAGACTGACAAGCTCAGTGAACCAACATTTCTAGCTGACCAAGATGTTATGGTAAAAATAATAATAGTAATAAAATAATAATAATATAATAATAATTCTTGGATAAAAGAATCATTAAAAAACAATGGAGTTTCAGTAAAACAGAGTATGAAAAATAAACATAAGTTTTAAGATTCCACGCTGCAATTTACCTTTAAGAAACTAGAATTGGGAGGCTGGGGAGATGGTTCAGTTGCTAAAGTGATTGCTAGTTGAGCAAGAAGTTCTGAATTTGTTTGATTTTCAAGACAGGGTTTCTCTGTGTATCCCTGGCTGTCCTGGGACTTGATCTGTAAACCAGGCTGGCCTCAAAATCACAGAGATTCACCTGCTTCTGCCTCCCAAGTGCTGAGATTAAAGGCATGCACCAGCACCACCCAACTTAGAAGACCTGAATTTTACCCATCCTTAGCACCCATATATGAGACCCAGACATAGCAAAGCCTGCCTGTAATCCCAGCATGAGGGAAGTGGAGACAGGAACATCTCTGGGCCTTGCTGGCCAGCCAGTCTAGCTGAATCGACAAGCTCTATGTTAAATGAAAAGATTGTCTCAAAAATAAGGAAGAGATGGCAAGATGGCTCAGGGGTAAAGACAAAGCTAACCACCTGAATTCAATCCCTGGAACCCACATGGCAGGAGAGAACAGATGCCTTCAAGTTGTCCACAAGCGCGTACTCACACACGCGCATGCGCACACATACAATTTGCAAAAGTTTACCAATCAGTGATAGCAATCAAGGAAGACAGCCGATGCTGACCTCTGGACTTTACATGCGTGCACGCGTCATACACATATGGAACAGAAAGGTGTCTCACACAAAGGGGAATGAGTGCTTAAAAGCCGAGCGTGGCAGTAAATGTCTATAATCTTATCATTCAGGAGGCTCAAGTAGGAGGGTCCCCAGTTGGGGGCAAGCCTGGGTTGCACAGTAAGACCTTGTCAAAAAGGGGGCAGTACATGTGTTAGTATCAAAGAATGTCCACAATCGCATAAAAATGCTACTCAAACCCTCTTCCTTCTTCTAGCTAGGTACCTGCAGTTGGGTTTTCTTTATATAGCTCAGCCAAAACTCACTGGCTCAGATTAAATGCTGTAACTATGAAAATCTGGCTGTCTCCTGTTAAGTCATAGAGTGAATGGCAAATGGGTAAAAGTAACAATGTCCTTCCTATTTGGGGGAAGAGAGTGGAGAGGAGTTTATTCTTTACCTGCAAAAGCTTCATTACTACTTTTAAATGAAGTTCCTCTGTTTAAATTTCTAACATGGAAACTGACAGATATAATTCATATAAACAGAAACTTTGGGGGGAAGGTCCTTAATTTCTGTGTTGTGGGAATGCGCTGCTGGGACTCACCCTGTCCATGCTCCTGCTTTATGTCCCCAGCAACTTTGGTGAAGGCCATCAGAGATTAAAGATTTGATAAATACTGCTAGAAACTTGCAGAACAGCAACTCAAGATGAGTTAAAACAGGCATTAAGTAAAACAGACAGACTGGGGAGAAGGCTCAGCCAGGACAGAGCTTGCTGCCCAAGTACAAGGACCCAAGCCTCATCCCCATGAGAAATAGCCCAGTGGCCAGGGAGGTTAAAGACAGGCAGCTCCTGGGAGCCCATCAGCCAACCAGTCTAGCCAGATTTGCAAGCCACAGGTTCAGTGAGAAATTCTGTCTCAAAAAATTAAGAGGTATTGAAGAAGTTCCCCAACTCTGACCTGTAGCCTCCACACATGCAGGCATTTGTACACATGAATATGTATGTGCACACACACACACTTCAAATGAAATTTAAAAATCAGTATAGTTACTATTAACTTCAATGATTTTCCTTCTAGATGGTGATGGAAGGTGGGGACTGGCTCGTTGGTGGAGACCTGCAGGTGCTGGAGAGAATACGGTGGGATGACGGGCTGGACCAATACCGCCTAACGCCACTGGAGCTCAAGCAGAAGTGGAAAGACATGAATGCTGGTATGGAATCCAGTACTAGTGCATCTGCCAATACTGCTTAGTACTGTAGTCAAAAATTCAAGGGTATCAGGAATGGTTCTTGGGTTTTGTTTTGTTTTGTTTTAACATAGGGCCTGGCATTGAATTCCTTATGTAGCCAATGGTAACACTGAACTCTTGATCCTACCTGTACTCCCAGGTGCTGGGATTACAGCATGTGCTACCATGCCTGGGTGGATCGGCATTTAAAAAATGTATTACTTTTAATGGTTTGTTGTGTGGGTGTCTGCCATGTATGCGTGGGTGCCAGAGGGGTCAGATTTCTCTGAAGCTGGAGTTCTAGGCAGTTTGTGATCTGACTGACATGGGTGCTAGGAATCAAACTTAAGTCCTCTGAAACAGTAACACAGTTTGAATCTTGGCGCCATCTCTCTAGGCCAGCTTTTTTGTTGTTGTTGTTGAGACAGGGTTTCTCTGTGTAGCCTTGGCTGTCCTAAAACTAACTCTGTAGAGCAGGCTGGATTCCAACTCACAGAGATCCACCTGCCTCTGCCTCCTGAGTGCTGGGATTAAGTATGGAGCCACCACTGCCCAGCTGTTTCTCTTTTTACATGTGATAACATCTACTGGTTTGTTTATATCACAGCTGTGCTACATATACATACAGAACACTATGCAGCGTCTTTAAGTAGGCAGTGCAGAATAATTACTAAAGTGCACCCATTAAGTGCAAAAGCAGATTGCACACACACACACACACACACACACCCCACAGTCATACTATGGAAAACAACAAAGTTAAAAAAAAACCTAACCTACTTCTGCACAAAGGACTCTGGGAGCACCAAACTGCCAGTGACACCACCTGCCTCTTGGGTATGGCAGTAGAACAAGAAAGGAAATCTTTTCATTTTTCTTTCTAGACATTTTGAGAGAGACGCGATTCTCATTTTAGGCTTTTATATACGTCTAAGTTTTCTGTGATGGTTATATATGAATTACATTTTGGAACCAGAACAAAATAAGACTTCATGAATCCATCACAAGCGCCATTGTTTTCATCTGTAGCTGGTGGCCCCCATGCACTGTGCTCTGGTGAAGATGAGCCTGCAGCAGGTGCAGGACTGGTGTTTCAGGAAGGGTGTAGACAGCACCTGTTTTAATTCCTGAGTCGTGTTTTCTCCCGTGTGGCCTCCTGCCTCTGCATCCCATCTTATCCAAGCAATCGACCAGTGTTGACGGTGTCAGATTAACATCCCTATCCGCTTAGGCACGTTCTCAAACTATCAAGACTTAGCAGACTGAATGGGGGAGCTCAACAATGCAAAGCTTCATCTTTCCCCATCCCTCCTTATGGACAAGCAACATACCTCACTTTGAACCACGGCTTTTCCTTCCTAGATGCGGTGTTTGCATTCCAGTTACGAAATCCTGTCCACAATGGCCATGCTCTGCTGATGCAGGACACCCGCCGCAGGCTCCTGGAGAGGGGCTACAAGCACCCAGTCCTCCTGCTACACCCTCTGGGGGGCTGGACCAAGGACGACGACGTGCCTCTAAACTGGAGGATGAAACAGCATGCAGCTGTGCTGGAGGAAGGAGTCCTGGATCCCAAGTCAACTGTTGTTGCCATCTTTCCGTCTCCTATGTTGTACGCTGGTCCCACAGAGGTGAGCAATTAATTCCCCGAGCTGGGTAAAGGACTAAGAACAAGAGTCTAAAACTATTTACAAAATTAAATTTGTGGATTCACTCTTAATGAGCAGAGTCTACAGTCTTCAAAAGTTACTCTTTCCCCCATCCCAGCTTAATTGTTTCAATTTTGTGTTTGTAAGGATGCTAGCAGCATTAAGTCCTACATAAACACATTGTTTGAATATGGGGGTAGGAATGTGATTGAGGTAGGTAGGTAGGTAGGTAGCACAGTTCACCTGGTGTCAGAGCAAGTAGTATTTATCCATGGTACCTTCCTGTTGCTGTGATACAACACCATAGCTAAGGCATAAACTCGAGTTTATGTGAACTTATGGTTCCAGAGTGATGAGTCTATCATAGCAGGGTAGCATGGCAGCAAGAGGCAGACTTGGGGACAGGAGCCAGAAGCTGAGAGCTTGTATCCTTTACCACAAGCATGAACTGAAGCACACAGTACATGCTAAAGTAGGTGGAGCTTTTTAAACTTAAAGGCCATCCCTAGTGAATAACTTCTTCCAGCAAGGCTGTACCTACCACCTAAACCTCCCCAAACAGTGGCACCAACCTGGAACCAAGTGTTCCAATGCCTGAAACTAAGGGGACCTTTCTCATCCAAACCACCACGCCAAGCTAACAATTTATTATTTCTAAGTACTCTATGTGATTCACCATGCCCCAGGGACGTCTTAGAAGGGAGACATATCCTTAAAAGGAAGCATCATCCTATCACAGTGAGCCAGCCCACCAGCGGTCCCTCTGTACAATGGACTATGATGGGAAGGGTCGTGATTAACCCTTCTAAGTGCTCCACACTGAGGTTAATGAATAAATTCTCTTCAGTTGTATCAGAGTTCCACTTTCTACAGCTCTCCTCCCACCCTTTGTATTTCTGTCACAACTTTAAAGATGGCAAGGATGCTGAGCTGGAACCAACACTTATACATGAAAGGTAGTTAGTTCATTACTGGTAGCTTAGAATCCTTAATATCCCTTACATTTTAGTTTGTCTGAAAACATGTAATTTGCAGTCCTTTCTAACAGTAACTATTCCTGAGCTGCTTGCTTTATTGAGAGATTAAAAGCTCCTATCCCACCCAACACAGCCCATCTTGAAAAGCGCTCAAGGCTTAGGGCTTCATTGCTACTTTTAGTTGACCCACCTTTCTGAATTACTTTGAAAGCAAAATTAATTGCCATAAAGAGCAACATGTGGACTTGGGCACTATGTGATATTTTCCAGGTCCAGTGGCATTGCAGATGCAGGATGATTGCAGGGGCCAATTTCTACATCGTGGGTAGGGATCCGGCAGGAATGCCCCACCCTGAGACAAAGAATGACCTCTATGAACCTACCCACGGGGGCAAGGTCTTGAGTATGGCCCCTGGTCTCACCTCTGTGGAAATCATTCCATTCCGAGTGGCTGCCTACAATAAAACTAAAAAGGCCATGGACTTTTATGATCCAGCAAGGTAGGTTTCAGAGAAAATTTTAATTGACATGATAATCGGCATGAGGCAAAACTCTGACCCTCTGGGAGTCTCCAGTCTGTGTGCTCCCTGGAGAGTTAAGACCTGTGCTTGCACACGCTGTGTCCCAACGTCGTATCAGAGTCCTCTACTGGTAGTTCTTGGTCCATAATTATTTCTCTTTGCTCTGTGGATGTAGCTTCCTAATAGAACACTTGTCTAACCATGGGCACAGCACTGGGCTTGATCTTCAGCACACTCACAACTGGGCAAACTTGCACAGGCCTGTTATCTCAACACAAGGGAGGCAGGGGGCAGGGTGACCAAAATTGCACTGTTATCTTTGGCTAGGCTGGGCTACATGAAACTCCAAGACAGTAACAAAATTGTTCCTTTCCACACATATGGCTTCTGTATACACTGTGAGCACCTAGCATTTTAAGGACGTACCACAAAAAAAGATTTCAGTGAGCATTTCTGATACGTTCATGCCCCATACTAAATTCACACAAGATAACCTCTGGCATGAAGATATGAGAACAGATGTCTAAGACCTGAACACACATCTATCTGCCTTTACTCCTCTTGTTCTGTAAGATTCTGAAGGCAGAGAATTGCCCATCTTAAAACATGCAGCTATGTACAGAAAAAACCCTTAAGCTAACCCCAGGGAACTTTAGGTCAGCTGTTACTCACCCCCACTGAGTTCTCTGTTGCTGTACCATGACAGGCACGACCAGTTTGACTTCATCTCAGGAACTCGTATGAGGAAGCTTGCCCGGGAAGGAGAAGACCCCCCAGATGGTTTCATGGCTCCCAAAGCATGGAAAGTGTTGACAGATTATTACAGATCTCTGGAGAAGATCAACTAAGTATCCTTGGTTCTGGTCTCTTTGAAATGCTCTTCGGCTAATGATTTTTTCTATTTTTGTGATTAAATGCTTTATATCCAATTGCTTCTCGATGACTAATTTTAAAGTTAGTATTTTGTAATGAGGCAAAAAGTTGTGCCTATAATTTAAAACCAACTTCATTATGTATATGAGAACCATACCGGAGACTAAATCTTAGGTAAAAACATTGTTATACATTCCAGAATGAAAGCAGTTTACTCTACTTCATCCCAGCCGTTGTGTCAGATTTCTTGAAAATCTGACAAGTGTCTAGTTGACTTGCCCAAACACAAGCATACTTAACTTTGCCAAGCTGGAACTTACTGGAAGTAATAATGTCACTTACCAGAAGTAATAAACCATACAAACAGCCTCTTCTATGTAACTAACAAAAAAAAAAAAATCTGTCAGCCTAAAGGAAATGTGGTTCACATAAGGATTTTTTTACCTCATGACTATAAAGTCTCACTGCCCAACGTATGAAGTGAAGATGCAACTGGAAGAAATATGTGTGAAGATGTGAATTAAATCTTAAAGAAATATGTGACTTACTTCTGCTGTGAAAATGACATGGTCTTGCAGGAAGAGAAGTTCTAGTAGCCTTCTATGAATAGTAACTCCAGTATTGTGGCACTTGCCAGTAGTGTAGTGTGCTTTGATGAAAAGAATTCCTCCCAGGGACTAATTCTCCATCAGGAATACTGTTGAAAACTACATTTCCCACACTTTGCTGTGGCCATAGTTATCTTGAAGAGGCACCTATCTGATTGCAGCTGTAACCAAAACTGACCCACAGATTAGACTAAGAAGCTAAAACAGTTGGTTTCTGCAGAAAAGGTAAAACCCAAACCTCATCTGAATGCAGAGAGATGACTGAGAGCTGCTGAGACCGTAACACAGAATAGCCATTACCAAACCCTGCTGACACTGAGCGCCCAACCACCACACTCCTAAGCTAGGTCCCTGTCTACATTAGACAGCACAGGAGCTGGTTCTGATTCCTCGAAGCTACTTAACGAAGGTCTCCTGGAGAATGCTAAAAAGTGGCCTTCTTGGAGACGGAAAGGTTCAGGGTATCCCAAACTCTTAATGTTACAAGCTTCCAGGTGGCGCCTGTTTTGAGAAATCTCTTGATAATTTTTATTTTCTAAGAGGTAATTCTTGTATTTTATGTATGGTTCATTGTTCAAAGGAAAATGTAACATAAAACATTTTATATACAGGTTTCTCTGGAAGAGACCTCAAACTGAAAAGAGAAGCTGATTTTTTTTCATACTGCCAGTTTTTTTTAAAAAAGCTAATAAAAGCTCTTTTGAGAGTAAGTTACGTACCATGACCACAGCAAAGTGAGTCTTCAACTGTATAGTGCCTGTGTTCATCTCTGTCACAGCTTCTCACTGCTGCCTCTGAAACTATGTATTCATTGAGAACATGGCATTGTAGTGCCTTACCAAATGAAAAAAAAATTGTGATTTTTAAAGACACAGAAAGCTGCCTTTCTGCTCTAGTACTAGAGTTAGTATAACTGTTTCAGTGTCCAAATGATGTTTGTTCTTACTTCAATAAATCTCTCAAAGACCAGACAAGTCTTCTTGTTTTGTCACGGTGAATACTGGCTGGCTACCATGGTTGCTACTAGGGGTCATGACACTGAGAGCAGTAACTCTTTTAGGGTTTTATTAAGAAGCAGTTCACCATTATTCATTTTCTAACTTGAAATTCAGATGTAAATGACTCATAATCTCAGCTGGGCACTGTTATAGGGAAGGACTCGTACTCACTGGAAATAAGAGCCTGTACTGTACTTCATTTTCCATAGCTCTCTGATACCCACCAGACAGTATAAAAACTCTAACAGTTAAGCTGCTTTACCTAGGTAAAGTTGGACATGATAACCAGCACTCCCAGTGAAGGAACTAACAGGATTCCATGCAGCAGTCCTTACAAGCCTGTCCACAGGAAATCCCTCTCATTTTCTGCATGCCCACTTGCTACACCGCCTTTATTTACCGTGTTATCTGTGACATCTCAGTCAGCTGGCTATGCGCCATTCTTGTTTTGGTTTTTCGAGACAGGGTTTCTCTGTGGCTTTGGAGGCTGTCCTGGAACTAGCTCTGTAGACCAGAGCTGGCCTCGAACTCACAGAGATCACCTGCCTCTATCTCCAGTGCCGGGATTAAAGGCGTGCGCCACCAACTCCCGAACAATATATTTTAGTGTTTGGTTTAAAACTGAGCCAACATGCTGGGTGTATGGCACTAGGGAAACAGGCAGGGGGTGCTCAAGTTTCAGGATAAGCGAGGAGACCCTATCTCAAACTAAACACCTGAGCTGTCATGGTTACAAACACGTGTTTTTGATGCATCCCACACAGCATACTAACACTCACTGCGCTTTAGCTCAAAGCACAAACACTAAAATGTCTCAAAGCAGATTTGTTTCTACTTATATGTGTGCCGTGTGGTGTGGGTGCTTGCAGAAGCCAGCAGAGGGCCTTGGATTCTTTTCAGTGGAAGTTGACAGAAAACTGTGAGGGAGGGGATTGGGTGCTAGAACTCAAACTTGGCTCCTTTGGAAGAGCAGCAAGCACACTCCTAATGGCTGAGCCATCTTTTCAGTCTCCTCAAAAAGAGGTTTAGAACTAAATATTAGACACTCACAAAAAAAAGGCCCCCCTCAGAATTTTAGTAATGATACTCTTACCGGACATTAATATGAACTGGGCAACATCTACCAGGTTTACCAGGCTATCTTCAATTCACATTGTGAAATGATTTCCTTTGGATTTGATTTCATTTGTATGAAGTGACTCTTGTACACATTAGCTACACTTTAGTCAACTCAGTTAGGAGACTGTTTCATGTGGTTCAAGTCCTCTTGAATAGGATTCCAAGAGCATGCAGACTGGTGCAAAATTTTTAAAAGGATGTATCTTTATTATTTTAAAGTGTGTGTGTGTGCGTGCACGAGGCATGTGTGCAGGTACATGTGAGTGCAGGTGCCCAGAGAGGCCAGAGGCAATAGACTCCCATGAAAATGGAATAATAGGGTACTGCGAGTAGCCTGACATGGGTGCTGTGAACCAAACTCAGGTCCTCTGCAAGAACAAACAGTACATGTTCCTAACTACTACATCATTTCTCCAAACCTTTGTACAGAATTTTTCCAGTACATAAAAGATTCTATAGCTTTCAGGTACCAAGATAATGCTAGAATTTTAGGCTATATCCTCATTTTTTAATCCTTTTTAATACTCCAACTTAAGACTAAAAAAGCTGTAACTACACATTACTCAATTTATTTCATCCAGAAGAAAGCTATAAAAACTGTCTACAAATAACTCAATCACAGTAGCAAAAAAAAAACTCCTACCAATATTATTTTTGAACAAGCAACTGAGCCTCAAGTGCCTCAAGACACTGTCATCTTGCATCAAACCCATGAATTACAGATGTTAAATAATACTGGTTCATTATGGTCCATGAAGAATATTTAGATTACTCTAACCCAGCTCTTAATGAGTCTGGATCTTCCTGAAGGTGGGGAGTGGGATTCGACAGGAAAGAAAGTTCACACTAAACTGACTCAAGCACCGAGTTTATAATCCTAATTTTAAAAGGCATGGAAACAGCAGCAGACACCAAGCCTTATTGTAAATCATCCAGCAGTGAGATTTCACAGAAACATCCCATAAGCAAGCCTTTTCATTTTAGTCCTGTGAGTGCAGGCCTAGAGATGACAGAAATAGCTTAGAGACTGAGATACACTTGTGCCAACAAGATACCCACATTAGTATGTAAATAATACCACCCATATCGTGAGAGCTAACATCTGAGCAGTAACTGTGCAGGCCCTCAGCTGAGTCTCTCTGCTATCACCCTGAATGACTCCCTTAAGCAGGTGCCAAAGGTGCCTCATAGATAACACAGAGCAGCCAGTCTTGGAGTGTACAGTTTGTTAGCAGAAGTCTGGCTCTACATCAGAGTGTGCATTTCATTCAGCATGTACAACCCAAAGCAAAGAGTTTTGTTTTGTTTCCAGAGACAGGGTTTCTCGCCTTGGCTGTCCTGGACCTTGCTCTGTAGATCAGGCTGGCCTTGAAATCACAGAGACCTGCCTGCCCCTGCCTCCCAGGTGCTGAGGTTAAAGGCATGCACCACCACACCCAGCTCCAAAGCAAATGTTTTAAAACCTAATACCCAACCACATATGCAAAATGTCTAAAGCAGAATGGAAGTTATACACTGTAAAGGTTATTTAAATCATATGAAAATAGTTTCACTTACATTATGGCTCAATGTCCCTACATGAATCATGGCTGTTGGGATTACTGTTATTTCTCTTTATCTGGGACTAGAACCATAACAAATTCACTACTACAATTGGATAATCTGAATTTAATAGATGAAAAGACACAAAGAAGTATATATAACACTCATGTTGGACTTCAGGGTGATGGCTCAGAGGTTAAGAGCACTGGCTGCTCTTCCACAGATCCTGAGTTCAATTCCCAGCGCCCACATGGTGGCTCACAGCCATCTGTAATGAGATCTGGTGCCCTCTTCTGGTCTGAAGTCATACATGTGTATGCATAAAAAAAAAAAAACTCATGTCTAAACATGCCATTACATTAAAATTACTAAAACTCTTATTAAAACAGAATAATTTAATATTAAAATGTCTCCTGTGAAAGTGTGAAATCTCAACTGCAAGATAAAAACTGTCCAAACACAAATTTTACAAACAACAAAAAGCAACAATTTAAAGTAACTGAGAAACATCAAGGACTGAGTGTAAAACAGAATCAAAAGGAAGGACCTTTTATTGTAAATTATAAAAAGCACATGTTTCTTGGTGTCGTGTATTAGCATTCGTCTTACAACATCTTCACAATCTTGCATGGCTTGCATTTTGTTAGCCTATCCTCCTGCAATCTACAACCACCAAAGCACAAATGGAGGAATAAAGTTCAATAGGTCTTGTAAGACATATTACCAGAGAAAGTAATCCAATAAACCCATAAAGGTTTAGTCTTCAAAGAAATAAAACAAGTAATAAAAAACAAAACCATTTTTGCCATAATTTAATCTTTCTGATGATTCAGAGGCACCTAAAGATTGTGCTGTGGCCATTATCTTCTGCTCTGTTGTATGCTGAGGTGCCTGCAACAGAATTCTGGTTACTGAGGTCTGAAAACAGAAGAGTTTTATATGTGGTTCACATAGCATCAAGGGACTACAGATACAACACAGGAATTCTGATGTGTATATTTGTACAATTTATACTATGCTGAGAAAATTTTTAAATTTAAGTTACAAAATGAGTATTTCTTTAAATACATTTAGTAATGACTATTTATATAAACTATCATTTTGCTTGGGTGACCAAATGAAAGTTGAACATAATTAAAGAACATGTAACTTCTAAACAACATTTAAGGAACATAGTTATAGAACTGTTACACTGAAAGTCATGTACACATATAAAGAGCACTGAGGTTTCTCAAGCCCACTGTTTTGAAAGGATTCAATCCATCTTAATGTAAATCAATGTAAAATTTAAAAGTGCCTACTTGGTGTCAGAGCATAATGAGGTGAAATCCATGCTGATCAATCAGTCTGCCTACCAATCAACCACTCAGTGTTGATCACTGAGAAATCCTGCTTTGTTATTCGATTTTCCTGACAACCATTATAATTGGGACACATGTACATATTCAGATGTGGTTGATTCAATCAACTGCAGAGGAAATTTTCAACTTCAAAGTGGCCAAAACAAGTGACAACTAGGAATGGCTGAATCACTGTACCTGTCAGATCTTGCCTTAAATCCAAGTTTTGCTACAGGCAATCTATCTGGTGCTTTTGGACTCCACAGTTGGGGTTTAAAAAACAAAAGCTTCTGTATTCAAACCTATCTACAGACTATCAAAGAAAAATGGAGATATATACACTGATATTCACTCATACATAAACACTTACATTCGTTCTCACATGTCTATAAACCAGCACCTAACCACATCCCACTTCTCACTAATAACAACAAATTATTTATTACTTTAAGACCAGCTTAGACTCTATAAGGCTATATAACAGCATATGGCTAAAAAGGTCAAACAAGCACCCACACTCAGCCTGGACTGAACTTCCTCCTCATGATTTCTGACAAGCAGTAATACCATTTACATGACAGACCGTAATAACTTAGGATCTGAGTATAAAACCACAAGCAGGATCTCTCTCACTGCTGTAAGGATGAGAGTACATCCCATAGGAGATCACTGAACCGTAAAAATGATCTTTACTTCTAATCTAAACAAACATGAGTCAAAACATTCTGAAACGCTGCATCCTTTGATTTCTTCATCTTTTCAATTGCCCGATGCAGGTCCTGCTGCTGCACAGGCCGGATTTCATCTTCATCATGACTAAAATGTAAACAAAGCCATCAGATTGCCAAATCATTTTAGAGTACACTTACCTCAAATATTTTACCAAGATTAAAAAGATGCAGCTGGCTAAAAATATATTTGCTTTTGATTATATAAGAGTATACTAAGAGTTTCTTTGCCATTCAAGATC